GGACAGGGACACTGGGAGGGTACAGGGACACCGGGAGAGGATGGGGACACTGGGAGAGGATGGGGACACTGGGGGAGGACGGGGACACTGGCACTGGGACATTGGGAAGGGACAGGGACACTGGGGGAGGATGGGGACACCGGGAGGGGACAGGGACACTGGGAAAGGATAGACACACTTCTTTTTTCTTTTCAAATATTTTTTCCCTTTTTTTTTTTTTTTTTCCCTTTCCCCCTCAACAACCCCCAAAGCAAAGAGCCGGGGCCGGCATCTCCATAGGTAATTTCTTTTTATTGCATTTTATAATGCCGTTGTCCATACAGATTACATGCAGCTAGAACCTACTGTACAAGGGTTTACCGTCCGCCCACGCAGACGCGCGGAGCTCGGAGTTACAAATACACAGCCAGGCCAATTCCTTTATACAGCACCGGGACGGAGCCGGGCAGGGGGCAGGGAGCGAGGGGAGGGGTCACTTTTTACACATCCGCCCTCCCGGACCTCGCCGGACCTTCCCCGGTGTCACTTTCGGGGTGAGGATGGGGATAAAACAGGGAAAAAAATGAAAAAAGAAAAAAAAAATAACGCAGGAAAAAGATCGCGGTAAAGGTTGGATGGCCCCGATCCCATCCCCGCTCTGGATTTCCCCGGAGCTTCCAGGACAAAAACCTGGAGATGCTGCGGGGCGGGAGGATGGCCGGGGGTGTAAACAAAGCCAAGAAAACCCTTTGGTTTGATGCAGGTCCGGCCGCTGCCCTCCCTCCCATTGTCCGGCAGCCCCTCCCTCACTCCCTCCCGGCGCTGCTGTCTGACCCCTCCCCAGGTACCTGTTTGGGGAGAAGAAATCATCGAGGAATAAAATAAAAAAAAAAACAAAAAAACCAAAAAAAAACCAACCAAAAAACACGGAAAAGTGAGCCGTTCCTTCAGTGGGAGATACCAGAAAAACGCYTTTTTAAACGCAGGGAAGTGCCCACGGCTCCCCCTGGCAGAAGGGTGGAAATAAAACCACAAAAATACAGAAAAGCCCCCCCGAAAAAGAACAATTTTGTAGGTCGAAAGCCAGAATATCTATATCTCAATATATACAGACACACAATTCTGCCACGCGTTTGGTCCTTGAGCCTCCCTCCCGTGGCGGCGTTTGAGGTAAAACTCGCGGAATTTCGGAAAATTCCGAGCAGAAATGGAGCAGAGGGGGTGGGAGGGGGGACAGGCAGTACCTGGGCTCAGGTGGGACCCCCCAGAGGTGGCCGGGCTGGGGTTGGAGGGGAAGAGAAGGGGTTAAATTCACCCCTGAGTATCGAACCGGGCGAGATTCCCGGCGGGAAAGGCATCGCCTGGAGCCGCCGGGATTTTMCAAAGGTTTTTCCCAACCTGTGCGTTGTGTTTTAAGGGAAGAAAACCCCCTCCTTTCCATTTATAGGTTTATTTTTATATATTTAATATATAGAGTGCTTTTGGGTGATGGTCAAGGATTTTTGGGAATTTTTGGAGCGGGAGGGGTGGTCCTCACGGGGTCTGGGAGTGACAAAAATCTGGGAATTTTGGATGAATCCATGGAGGCCCTGGGATGTATTTTAGGAGTGTTTGTACCTCTGGGAAAAATTAAAAAAAAAACCAAACAAAAAAAACCTCATCACATCCCGAGGAGGTAGGAAAAAAAAAATTAAAAAAAAGGAAAAAGGAAGAGGAGGAGGAAGGAAAAGGATAAGAAAGGGGAGCAGCGACTGGAACCCCCCCAAAAATCTGGAATAAAGCAGCAAGAGGTGATGCCATCCCTCAGCAAAACCCCCGTGGTGGTGTAAACTCGTTCCAATAATGATTTAAATTAAAAGAGTGGGAAGGGAAAGGGGAGAAGGAAAAAAAAAAAAGGGCAAATTATTGGGGAAAAGGAAAAAAAATGGGGAAAAGGAAAAGAAGAGGAAAAAAGGAAAAAAAATGGGGGAAAAGAAGGGAAAAGGAAAAAAGAAAGAGAGGAAAGAAG